GGCTTAAATCTGCTGGCGATGAAAAAATATTTATTCACTCAAGTGCTAAATACCGGCTCCACATAGGGCCTCCTGCTTTGTTCCATTTGTTCTCGTTTTCTATATGTTATGTTCATTTGTTGTTTTGCGCTAATGTGATTGTCTGTCAATGGGTGTTTTATTGCTTTGTGTCATTTTTATTTTTAATTGATAAGTAAAATATCTAAAAATATTGTCCAAACAAATAAAATAAAAAAAACTGTAATCTGTCAACATGCCTCTGACAAAAACAGCCATAGCTGGAGAGATTGTTTTCATGTTGTCTGCCATCTATCTTTTCCATTCTTGTGAACACAATATATCAGGAATTCCTTGAGGGAATCTCTTCAAACTTAGCACAAAGGTCCACTTGGACTTGGGGATGAACTGATTTTTGTGGTCAGAGATCAAATGTCGAGGGCACTGTGACCTGGGTGGCAGAGGCAAATACTATGAGGTATAATTCTAGTTTACAAATACAGTCAGACACTGAGTACTCTGTAGAAGCCCCTTTACCAGAAATCAGAGCTTCTAGTCTTCTTGGGCAAGGCTCCACATGCTTTGCACAACTGGATTTGGGCAGTTTCCGATTCTTTGTGGCAGATCCTATTAGACTGGATGGGAAGGGTCTGAACTCCCATATTCAGGTCTCTCTACATATGTACTATAGGGCTTAAGTCTGTTCTTTGGCTGGAGCAGGGTTTCTTAGTATCTGGTTGCATTCATTATTCCCTCAACTCAAACCCTATCCCTGCTGCCGCTATTATGCTTCAAACTCTCATTATGCTTCATGGTGATGACATGGTGACATATCCAAATCCCTTGCTATCTTTTGTCGAGGCTCATTGTTCTTAAACATTTCAATAATTTTCTCATGCATATGTTGGCAACCTGGTGATACTCAGCCCATCTTTGCTCCTAAAGGGCTCAGCCTTTCCTGGATGCCACTTTTGTACCAAATCAGCTCACATTATTCATCTCATTGATAATAAATTAGAACAACAGGAACAAGAACAGAAAGACCTGGTTAGACTCCAGACACAAGTGGCTAAGGCACAATTGCAGGAAATGAGAGACAAAGCCCCCAAGATATCAGTACAGCAAGAGAAAGCGTGGCCGCTTCAATAAAAAAATATGGCCCACGCAGACATGATTGCTGTTATCAATATGGTGGACTAGGACACTGGGCAAAGCATTGTAATGCCCGGCCAGCCTCACAATATTCACAAACAACAGGAGGAGTTCCCCAGTATGATTATAATGTCTACCCTCCTCCACCACCTGGGCAACATCAGGCCCCAGGAGCCAACCCAATGCCCCAATAGGGGTGCCCAGAACAAACAGCAGGGCAGCAGGATGTATTTCGTTGTTTCTTTTGAAAAGACCGGCTATGTGAATACCGCTCTTTTTCAAAAAGGGGGGAAGTAAGTGGGAGCACAGAAAGTAAGGTTTTAATGTGTTACAGCTCCAGACTTGACAATGTAGAGGTGAGCCATCCTACATGTGTCAGACATGAGGCTGCAATCAGATGCAGAGGACACCAAAAGGGAGATGGAAGAAGAAACAGAGGTAACAATGCAGCTGATTTGACCGCTAAAACTGTAGCTGGCTAACCTGTATATACTGTACATAGACAAATGATTCAGAAGCCGGATCTCTGTGGGAGCTCTGTCTCTCTGATCCCAGTGCCGTAATGACTTCACTGTGCCCAGACTTTGAGTAAACTTCCTGTTGATTTTAAACAGTCCTCTTCTGTCTTCACTTCTCGCGCTTTCAATAAAAGAACTGGGTAATATCTAACACTAACTATGCCACTCACAATTCATGAATGTACATTACACACACCAAAGATACTTGAGGAAGAGCTCATGCCAAAGGAGATGTCAGAAAACTATGGCACAATATGTGGCTAACCAGCTACAGCTTCCACTGGTATTCTCTCACAACAATCTCCAGATGCTATAGCTGAAGTCAGAACAACTGCATACACTTGCAAACTAGCAATTTAGCTCAATGTCCCAGGAATAGTTGAGTTAGAAAACTGATTAATGTGACACAAGTATTTCCTAATGTAACGTTACCACAAAGATTAGCCTACCTAATTGAAAATTGTTATGGTCACTATGATATTGTTCAGTGGCACATAGCAAAAGATTTACCCACCTGTCCAGCAGAAAAAGAGCAACCTCCGCGTCTATCTGCATCCCTTCCTGAAGCTATCTCCATCTTTGGAAGGCAGCACATAGCTACGTTTATACGGGTCTCCGACCTTGCCTGATTAACATTACAGTCCTTTTTATTTATCTATTTTTTTTGTAATGTTGATATGAGTATGTGATGGGGAGTCCCAGCTGAATAGTGGACTAAATACCAAGAAGAAAACCAAACATTTGTCCATGTATTTCAAAGAGCCTTCTATGTTGCTAGAAGCAAATTCTTACACATAACAAGGCACAACTAGTGTACTTATCAACACAAAGCATTATGCCAGGAAAAAAAACTAGTGGAGCTTGTTCCAGATCACAGTGCAGCATTATGTAACACAACTCAATGAACAAATTATGAGAAAGTGAAGTTTAACTTACAGTCAGATTATTATTTTACCTAGTAATTCATGTAAAACTTAATACCTCAACAACAACCTAGTTAGAGATGGTAAGAATTACAGATACATATTCTCAAAATGTCAGTAAGAGAAAACAGAAAAATATACAGCCACAGATCCAAACAAAAATCTGAGTGAAACTTAACAAAGACAGTGCAATAAGCAAAAACTGGCCTTGCACCTGTTGAGGTAGTGGGAGCATCAATATGCTATGTTTCCTTAAGAGTTACAAAAAATGATTAAAATTTTTTTTTTTATTAATGATTTGTTGATAGATTAACTTCTGAAAGTTTAAAATTTGACAAATCCAACTGGGGCTACTTGACAAGCAAATTATATTTTGTGAAATGCACAAGAATGCAAAGAAATAAGCAAAACAGGGCCAGATTTATATATCATAAAAATATGTTGAGGGAATTTCACATAGCACAATGTATAGCAGATTTCACCAATGCAGCAGACATTCAAAAAAAGCAATTGTGTGATTTAAGAAATGGGGGGCCAGTGTCCCAGTAGAGCTTTGTCTAGCAACATCCTTGTCACCAATAATAATAATAATAATAATAATAACAACAACAATATGAAATGTTGCTATTCCTTTGTTTACAGAGTGGGCGTGCAGCAGGCAACCCCAGTAACCCACAAATCCACGTGATACATTTCTTTATGTTTACAGAAGGCTATGGCTACACTATGTTTTTTTATGTTTATGCACACACAATGCATAGTGATGCTAATAATTATTTGTGGTTTTCAAAATCAAACCTTAAATATTTCTGTTAGTGTAAGTACTTTTTCAACAACAACATTTTCAACACATCAACAGTACCATGATAATATTAATAACAGTGATAATTTTGGTCATTATAATCGTGACGTTACATTTTCATACCATTACATCTCTATTGTACTCCTGGACTCTGAAAGGACACATCCAGTTAATGTCCTCAGTCACATAACCACTACTACTTTCTTCTGTTAGGTATTTTTAGTCAGATAGAAATTGGATAGATACTTTATGTATTAGAAATATTTAGTGGAGATGGGATGTCTAGTTAGACTGTTAAATGCTTAGGCATGCTTATGAGTTTCTGCAGGGTACATCTGGTCAAGGATAACTAGAGAGAAAAGTTGATGACTGTCAGCAGACAGCAACAGACACACACATTCACACATTGATTTACTTCATGTTTTGACTATTGTTATGGCCAGCTGCAAAGCTGGCAACAGAGACGTCTCGGTTGACGTTTCTGTGTAGTATGGGGCTAGCCTAACCGAAGAGATATAATGTATAGGCCTGGTGGGTTCAGAGTCTTTCATCTTACATCTGCCTGTGTGCAGTTTGGAGGTGCAAGATACCTGAGCGTGTAATGTTAATTTTACCTGTGATCCTTTGAATAAATCAGCACTGTTTTGAAGTTACTGGGACTGCCTCGTCTCTCAGAGTCAGTATGGTAAAAAGTACTGGGTACAACACTTCTAATGTTAAAAAAGTAAATAATAATAATAATAATAAAAACAGGGCTGATCAAGATATCACCTATATACAACCTGCGGCACTCTGTAGAAACAATGGATTTGCCACCCCCATGGTACTGCGAGCAAATGAACCGTCAAGTGCATATACACAGTGGCTAGCAGCTTCAATTAATGCTCTGATAGTCAGTGAAAAGCACAAACTTTAATGGAACTGTGAGAATGGACAGATCAGAAATTAGTTTTGCAATTGTTTTATAGGAACAGGAATTTTGTTGTGCAGTAGTTACTTGATTCCCACCTTTAATTAGCAGCACATATGTCCCTATTACTGCTACCCAAAAATATTCTTTTTTTTTTTTTTTTGAACAATGTAGAAGGGGCATGATGAAGGTTGGGGGTGCGGCTGCATTACAGACAAATCCAGGTAGTGGTTTGCGTTTTTACCTTCTGTAAGTAGCTTCCTCTTTATTCTTTGTTAGAGTATGAATTTCTGTGCCACTGTTACAGAATTTTCTCTATTGTCTTTTTTCACAGTATCACATAAACAATCCAGTATGTTTCTATGGCACATTTAAGCCGCCAGGAGGCGACTGAACCCTTCACCTACAGACATCTATTGTATTTAGGCAGCTAGTTAGCGTTAGCCCCTTTCCAATCCAACATTAAAGTGAAAGGAATACGCACGGTCTCAGATATAAACATACAGAAAGGATTGACCTAAGAGCAGCCCAAAATCCTGTTTCAACCTAATGTTAAGTTGTAGGTAATACTGTGGTCAGACGAGAGCTAATGGTAGCTGCTGCTATCTAACGCTACATAGCAATGGGAGAACAGTAGGTATTTATATATAAGACGGCATTTAGATATCGAGCTTGAACAGTCAACAAAAATGACTTACCATAAAAGCTGTTACATCCCAGAATGCAGTGAAACTCATTTGCTGCGTCCTAATACCGATCTGTAGCCGATGACTGCTGCAGACCTTGGGCCAGGGATGTGTCTTCCGAGCCTTCTGAAGATGGTAACGACTGTGACGCCATGGCGCACGCTCCTCACGTTGATGACGTTTTCTAAAATGCAAAGCGCTCATAAAATGTATCTGTACACCACATAACTTAGTATATTATTTTAAAGCCCCCGTAAGACGCACATATGAAAAATATACTTAATTTCCTTCTAAAGTTTGCTGTCTTTTTGCCTGTATGCAAAAAAGTTACCGCTGCTGGTCAATTAATATTATGAAGAAAGTGTATAATAATACTAATAATAATTTGACTGTAAACATCTTGAGTTATATTCTGTATTTAAAGTGTATTTAATTGTGGAAAATAATGATAGCAACAAAAACTGCATTAACAATCATCCTTTATGCTAAACAAATCAAGCCAGATACAGTAGAATGACACTTTTATTCACAGGTTTGTGTTACATGTTACAATATTCATATCCATAACCTTACATGCCAAATAAGTGTGTCATTCCTTTTTTGTGTGGTTGTGATGGTTAATGAATAATAGACACCTAAGCCAAATAAAATATATAGCTGCTACATTACAAACCACAAACTGTGAATAACTTCCATGTTTACAATAAATTAAACATGTTAATCAAAGTGGAATAAAATTCAGGTGAATCTATGGTGTCACCACACAGAAGGCAACCAAGTAAATTGTTGGCATCCAGGTGCTCAGTGAAGTATAAGAAATATACAGTCTGGAATGTTTTATGTGGTGAAAATGACCATACAGACCAGAAGAGCTAAATTACAATACAAGGCCTACAGCTAAAAAAGAAGCAGCTCAACCAACAGAGGCCTATGAGGACTGCATACAGCTGGGGTGAGTTGGATGGTTGTAGTCTGTTTATGCAGCAGTTCAGAAATAATACTTTATAATGAAGGTTCTATATTTGGTAAATCTGCTCCACACATGTACATCCTGCGCCAGCTCAGGAGGTTCGACCTGCCCCAGGAGTTGCTGATACAGTTCTACAAAGGAATCATCAAGTCTGTTCTCTGCACCTCCATCACTGTCTGGTTTGGCACTGCAACCAAACAGGACAGGAAGAGACTCCAGCAGACAGTCAGGACTGCAGAAAAGATCATCGGTGCAAGCCTGCCCTCCATGGAGGACCTATACACCTCATGGGTCAAAAGGAGGGTGGAGAAGATTTCTGCAGACTCCTCACATCCTGGACACAAACTGTTTGAATTCCTCCCCTCTAGATGGCGCTACAGGTCACTGTGCACCAAGACAACCAGTCACAAGGACAGTTTCTCCTTCCTGAGCTGTCATTCTGATCAACACTTAACTCACAACAGTATGACCGGTCAGTAACCCTCAGTGCAATACCTGTAAATGTACATTGTACATATAAATCCGTCAAATGCATCTAGACTGTGTACATATATGTACAGGTCTCTATTAACCTCTAGAGTCCCTGCGTCCTCATATGAGGACCGCACAGCTTGGGTTTCCAAAGCTCAGGACTCTAGAGGTTAATAAATACTTTATTTTTATCTCATTTCCTAATACACATTTCTTTTTTTGTTTGCACATTACTTACTTCTTTACTTTCTGTTCTTTCAGCCTTATATTGTTTACTTGCTCTTTGCTCTTGCCTTACATAAGGATATGTACATACATATTGAGAGCTGCTGTACCAGAGTCAAATTCCTCGTGTGTCTAACACACCTGGCCAATTAAGCTGATTCTGCAGTATCAATAGTATTAAAAATATAAACAGTATCCTCAAAGCATTTCACTCAGTTTTTCTCATGACACATTTAACAAAACTAACGCTGTGTGAATAAAACAACACAAAATTTGCAAAAGACTGGACAAGACCAGTGGTATTGTTTTATGTTTCATATCAGACCCTGCTAGACAGCTATTAGCTACACTGTTGTCCAGAACCTCTGCTCTCTGCTAAGTCTTCGCCTCCGTGTCTCATCTTTTGTCAGATATTGTGCAACAGCCAGCAGCCGC